CATGATGATATTACAGTGTCAGACTAGTCTAATTATAGAGAATCAAAGAATTTTCGACCTTATTTTTTCTTAGGTGTGGTACAATCCTTTCAATGTCATTCTCACATAAAGCTGTGGTACAGGCAGCCATTACAAAAGTGGATTTTTGACATAAAAAAAATGTATATCAGTGACCGGTCGAGTAACGGATTTATTAAATGTGTAACACGTACTTACATACAGACAGACGGACATTGTCAAAAACTAGTTGCAATTTTATACCAGTTTACTTGGTCTAAGTAATCTACTTTCTCCAAGTCGTTGGATGTATTTTGAACATGTGACAAAAGCCATTTATCTTAAAAAGAAGGATATAAGTATTATTTTAGATTGCCTGTCGATTTAGCGAATGGTTGCAACGGCTTATTGGTTTATAACTATCTTCTGACAATTCTCAGTAACTCTGCAGAGGCAGAGGTTACAGGCAAAAAAAGACAATCAGAGTAATAACTTAAATTACATACCTTTTGTTTGAATACATCTATACTATACATAATGCGAGGGGGACTGGGATGCCGTCTCCTCCTTTTGCGAAGCAGTCATGCTAGCTAAGGAGGAGGCGGGACGCGTGAGGCAGCGAAGCGCTGCCTCCTCGCAACCCAGCCATCGCGAAGGACACACCGGGCGTCGGGGATCGCGGGACGATCTCCGGCCACCGTAAGCGCGGGCCTGCGGACGGCGAGCATGGGTGGCTCCCCGTCCGACCAGAAACAGACCCGAGCGTACGGCGCGTCGCGTTCCGCGCGCGCCTCAAAGAGCCATCAGACCACCACAGATGGGGCCCAATAGGGCCGATGCCGATTCGGAGTCGCGGAGAACCTAACGGGTAACCGGGGCTCCGGCTCGACGTGCAGGAGAAGGAACGGGGTGGTTTTTAGTCAGTAAGAGTCTGACACTCCCTTCCGCCTCACCCAGGCGGGAGCAGTCATTCGATGATTATCCCCCCTTAAAAAAAAAAAAAAAAATACTATACATAATATATAAAAATGAAACCCGTTTCCCGTTGTCACGCTATAACTTGAAAATGGCTGGACCGATTTCGCCGATTTTTTTTGTTGTGTTTGTTATTGTCAGGAGAAGATTCTTACGATAGAAAAAAAACCTGAAAATCTTATGGGAACGGTTGAAAACGGGATTACGCGTACGAAGTCGCGGGTAGAAGCTAGAAATATTATAATAGATTATGTTGCGTTACGCATAAGCACAAACGTCTACCGTTTCTACTAATGAAACAAATTGAAACTTTGTAGGTAGGTACATAACTAAATATAGACATAGTTTGTAACTTAAAACCCGAAAACATGACGTCTCTGTAGCATTAAAAAATACAACATGAAGTCTCTATAATACACACAACACAAAAACCAAAGTCGGTAGTAATCTGCAGTTTCACCCAAGTCTTGTTTACTACTGGCACACAAAAACAACAAGACCGTGAAGATATAATGATCCCCTTAATTAGCATAAAATAATCCCATGATAAATACTTGTAATTATAAGTAAACCGCTTTCGTTAAGTTTTGAAGTAACGAGCGTGTTGTATAAATTATGCTAATTTATAACCACTGTATATAAAAACCACCATGTTACCTATTGGCCTACTGAAATATAGGTTTTTGTGACACACAAAAATTATTCACGATTATTTCGCACATGTTGTATTTTTGGCATGTATTTTTTTCCAAAAACTGTAATAAATTATTTTTTAGCATAATCCGATGTTTTACTAAAAAATCATGAAGTAGTCGATATTTTACTTGTAACACGTTGAAAGGCAAGGATTACAACAAGTTAAGCCGCATTTTAAATTATTATGATTTATTACTAAACATGTTTTTATCTGTGTAAAAAAATACGCAAAAAGCCTGCGGATTTTACAGTGACTACTCATTTCTCATTTATATTAGCAATTCAAAAGATACATGTTGTTAGAATGTTGATTTATAACTACAATAATGTTATAATTATTTTTATATTCGTCTATAACAAAACCAATATCGTTATATAATTAATCAAAGAGTTTCTAATGAGTCTTTACTTTGTAAGAGTTTCTACTTTGAAAGAGTTTTCTGAATGGTCATTTATTAATCGATGAGTGAAAAACAGAAGTAACAATCTTGTAAATCCTCTAGTTTGTCCTTTACCTGGCGATAGTCTTCTCATTTGCCACCCTACCTATCATAAAAACGTAAGAATGAGTACTGGTGATATTACTTTATGTCTTTATCTTTTTAATTTATTTAAAGCGCTTTGTCTATAGAGATCAACTTACAACTTACTATTCGTATACTGTCGCGGAGAACCTAACGGGTTACCGGGACTCCGGCTCGAAGCGCAAGAGAAGGAACGGGCTGGTTTTAAGTCAGCAAGAATCTGACACTCCCTCCCGCCTCACCCAGGCGGGAGCAGTCATTCCATGATTTTCCCCCCTTAAAAAAAACTATTCGTATACTTACTTTGATATTTATTTATAACGTGGACGCAGTTAACGTTTATGATATTGCTCATTGTATTATTTTTTATGTGTTCTAATTTTGAATGAATTGGCAATTTATTTTTTGATTGTCAATTGTCTTAGTGTAGTTGCAGAGGATTTTTCTTATATTCTTATTTAAATGCATCACCACTGTTTACCTACAATTACATTTACCGTGACGCACTTGTGAGAATAAGTCCTATGTTAATTTTTTTATTCATTCATTATTTAATTTTTTATTTTCAACTCTTCTATGAAAAGTCATTACTAAAACTATGTTAACAAACAATTACCCCAACTAAATCAGACTATAAAACACAATTCATTAACAAACTCATTACAATTTAGTTACCTACAATGTGTACAACAACCCAATTAAAACAACAGAGAAAGTACATAATATATTTTAATTCAATGAACATGTATGTGTTCTACAAAGCTGATGTAATAATACAGGCATAATGACATGATGGGTGCCATTTTATTATGAAAAACAGTGAGATTCGATTACGTGTGCGTCCCTTTGTAGGCGTGATGGGAATTTCGAAGAGGTTTCGCAGTTCGCACGGAGTAAGGAGAGCGCCTAATACGCGTGCAGGACGGAATATTTAACATTTCAATTCTTTTGGCATAGTATTCTTACGTTTGGGACGAATCGTGAGGTCTGATCTAAACTAAACACTAGTGCTACGTAAAGAATACGAATTCTTTTTAAGCTGTACATCAGAATATTTACTGTGGTCTTGGTGCGTTTATACAAACACTAAAACACTATAAGAATACTTAGTAATAACCAGTTGTTCCGTGCAGGGCCTTTAGCCAAACGCCTCTTTAGCGCTTATCTACAGAGAGAGTAGAAATCAAAATGTATGGGGATGACACTGACGAGTGTCAAAATTAACGTCAATTCCATATAATTTTGTTTACTATTCTACATGTAGACAAGCGCTAAATGGCATTTGGCTACAGCTGCTGGAAACAAAAATCAGCATCCGATTGCTCGGCCACTGCGCCTTTAAGTAAGAAGCAACTATGCTAATTTTTTTTTTTTAATAATACATGCATGCTTCCTTATGAAGCCGGGGCGGGTCGATGGTTTTTCTTTTTTATAAACGTTCCCCATACTAGGATTATTCCCTGTGTCATGAGTGCGTTTACAAACATACAAGTTCACATACACAATGACACCCAGACCCGAAACAACAATTTGTGGATCACACAAAGTGTTGTTCCGTGCCTGAATCGAACCCGCGACTCGTTGCACGGCAGCCGGTTGTCCAGCCACCGCACCAACTGTGCAGTCAACAATTCATTCAATAATACCTTTAATGTAGCATAAAAATAATATCCCTAAGTTTCGAGAAGTGCAAAACATGGCGACGATTTTAATTAACTTTAAAAAATAAAATGTAAATGTCCATAAAGATTTATTTTTTGTTCAACGTTGTAATAAAAAGTTTTTCTTAAAGGAACGCGTCGTGTTCTCATTAGCCAGCTTAGTAGTTTCGTCCATGTTTTAAGCTGGACTTTGAAATTTTTAGATGTTTCGCGGACGCTCATTACACTGTTTTACCTACTGGGTACTATTTACTAAATTAATATAAGAGATCTAATTGCAAAATAGTTTTACCAAGAGACGTTTTAAGATGTGGATAGTTTATAAATTGTTTGCAACACGAATAGGCTACTAGAAAAGGTAGATATTGGATTTCGTTACTACATAATATCAGATGGAACACTCACTTTTAATCTGTTTTTTATCGAGCACCATGTATGTGTAACTTATGCCGGAATACTGAAACGTTACTCAATTTTAAGTCTTGCTCAAATATCGTGCCATCTCTGTCATATTACAAAGAATTTGTAGAGATAGAACTAGAGATACTTAAGCACGACTTAAAATTGAGTAGCGTTTCAGTATTCCGACATTAGACCCATTTTAGTACTCTCAGTACACAGATTAGGTACTTTTAAAAATTTACGGTAAATCTACATTTCCTTCTGGGTTGGTCTCAGGGTCTGAAATATCATTAACTGTAGTTGTAATCACTTGACCAGTGCCCCTCTATCTACACCTTTGATGAACTAAACATGTCAATTATCTATTACACATAACATAACAACAAGCCTTTTTATCCCCGAAAGGGGAGGCAGAGGTGCACATTACGGCACTTAATGCTACTGTACAATGTAACACCCACTTTTCACTATTTATATTATGAGAATCATATTTATATATGATTCCCATGTACTAGGGGGTGAGCGTATTGCCATATACCGGGCACATTTCCAGACTCCGTGCTACTATTGAGATTTTCAAAAACCCAGTAATACTTTGCCTGACCCGGGAATCAAAGCCGAGACCTCTTGTTTGGCAGTCGCACTTGCGACCACTCGGCCAACGAGGCAGTCATTTATTTACTATTAATATACATACATATATAGTCAGAAAACTAGGAAGTATATTGAACAATGCTTGTTTCAGTCGAGGTGTCCTGTGGCGGCACGGTGCAGAATAACCTGACGTACTTCATGTCGCCCGGCTTCCCCGAGCTGTGGGGCGGCGAGGAAGACTGCAACATTACCATTGAGAAGACACACGCTGGCATCATGCAGCTCAGGATAGACTTCTTACACTTCACTATTGTGAGTCACGTTAAACTTCATTCTTAAATACGTTTTTTCTGGTACTCGTTCAATGTGTAGATATAAATGTTTTTTATATTATTTTGTTTGTATTTTTAAATAAAGAAAATACGTTCTACTTATCTTCTACAGTCAAAAATGTTTGATACAGTCTAAAATAAAGACTTAACAAAGAGATCTAATGCTAATCTTCTTCCAATTCCAGGGTCAGCCTAACAGAACCACAGGAGATTGTGACGAAGATGCCATGATCTTAGGAGATGGGGACAGTAAGTTCACACTGTGTGGACAGAATCATGCACAACATGGTAAGATTTTTTATAGGTTAATGAACTATACAACTCATGATAAACAGATCGAAACTTGATAAGAATCTTTATCCATCGTTGTTTCCTGCGATTAGAGATTATGATTTCAGATTACCAGAATCTGTGGGTGTACCGCAGGGCTCGATACTAGGTCCATTCTTATTTTTAGCGTACATAAATGACTTGCCCCATTTATTTAAAAATGAATGAAATGCAGATGGTATTATTTGCTGATGACACTTCATTAGTTTTTAAAATTAATAGACGCACAAATAGTTATGACGACGTAAATAATGCCCTAATGAAAGTTCATAATTGGTTTACATTAAATAACTTAGTACTAAACAATAAAAAGACAAAATGTATTAAATTTGTTTTGCCAAATGTTAAAAGCAACGATTGTGACATATTATTGAATGGTGAGAAATTAGAGTTTGTAAAAGAGACAACTTTCCTGGGAATTACTGTAGACGACAAATTGCAATGGGGTCCTCACATTACATCATTAGCGGGACGATTGAGCTCTGCAGCTTATGCTGTCTGGAAGATACGACAGTTAACTGACATAGACACGGCAAGACTAGTGTATTTCAGTTACTTTCATAGCATTATGTCGTATGGCATTTGCTGTGGGGACACGCTGCTGACATTGAATCTATCTTTATCTTACAAAAGCGCGCCGTCAGAGCTATCTACAATCTAGGTCGTCGCGAATCACTCAGAGAAAGGTTTAAGGAGATCAACATTATGACCGTTCCATGTAAATTTATTTATGAAAACATTATGTATTTAGAAAAACCTACAGTTATTTGGTAAAGTGTCGGACAGACACCACTATCAAACTAGACATAAGAATAGATTAAGTCAGCCAATTTCGAGATTAGCGAAAGTAAGTAAGTCGTTCATGGGATTGTGTTAAATGTTATTAAGATACCAGGCGATGTACAACAACTAAATGAATCGAAATTTAAATTATGTATAAAGAAAACTTTATGTAGACAAGCATATTACAAACTTAATGATATATAGAGATAAAAAATGCTTGATGCAGGCTAGTCCGGTTCCACAGGATAACTAAAAACACTTGTTTTAATGAAATCGTAAATAATACAGCCATATTGCTAAATTGTATATTGTTTAACTTAGATAACCATTGTAAATGTGAGAGCCCTGTAATTAACTTAATATTAAATTAGATTAGTAGATTTCATTTTGTGTCAGCTTGGAGTTGTCATGCTCACTCAAAGGTCTCATTGGCGGTGGCACGTGCAGTGGATCGCTCGATTCCCTACAATATGGTTGAGTTGGGCGGTGCTGGTGTACGTGTCATGTTCGTGAACGGGCGCCGTCAACTGGGACTGGTCAGCTCCAGACTGTATTACTGTCCTTAAGGTTATTTTCTTTTTTGATCACTTTGACTGGATTTTAGTGTTACATTGTTCTCGCACAATCCAAACAGCAAAACTATGTAACTAGTAAATTGTATTGTGAACCTGATTGAAAAAGAGTAACCTATGGAGTTTCTTGCTCGTTCTTCTCCATAGGAATCTACGCCTTGGAATGAGCAAATAGCTTCACTTTAAATTTTTGTTTTTGTTGACGTTCAAAAGTGCCATTCTGGCCTAATTGAAATAAATGATTTTGACTTTGACTTTGACTTTGTGGATTGATCTTGATTTTACACAAAAACTATTCAGATCAGACAAATATAAAGTAAAAATCGATTTCATCTAAAGTTTTTGAATCTCTGTTCAAAACCGTTATCGATATCGTATTTCGGGTACTGAAAACATAGTATAAGATTAAAATTAAAATTCAATTATCTAAAATTGCAACATCAATGGACACGACCATTGATAAACTAAGTTTTCATGTCAATATTAAGACCACTGGCGAAGGGACTATTTTTTAATGAGAAACTTATTTCCTTAACCTTAGACTCATCAAGTTTCTATAAATTCCAGTATACTACACACTATCGACGGGCAGCGAGAAGAGAGAAGACAGCGATCTGCCTGGCACGAAGACCATCAACCTGTCGATGAGGATGCGAGCTGGAGACATGCCACGGATCTGGCTGATGAGGCTAGCGCAGATGCCATTAGCGTACACAGCTCCGCATAATTGTCTGCAGTATTTTACGAATGATAATGGTAATAATTATGATTTTGACTAGTGCTATTTAGGAAAAATCTTTATAAATGAAAATTGTATGATACCATGATTTTGTTACGACGTGACAACGTTACTAATCTAATAAAAAGCAAGAGGTGACTGTGAGGCTGTTGCGAAATGTCGGGTGTAATTGTAAATACTTAGAATGTCGTAGTTGAACGTATTATTTTGTTTATAGATATTACATTTACTGCCTGCCTCGTTGGCCGAGTTGTCGCAATTGCGAATGCCGGATAAGGGGTCACGGGTTCGATTCCCGGGTCGGGCAAAGTACTACTGGGTTTGTAAAAATTCTCAGTAGTAGCACGTAGTCTGGAAATGTGCTCGGTATTTGGCAATAGGCTCACCACCTATTACATGGGACTCATAACATAAATAGTGAAAAGTGGCTGTAACATTGTACAGTGGTATAATGTGCACCTTTGCCTACCCCTTCGAGGATAAAAGGCGTGATGTTATGTTTTTTTATGTTATATTATATTTAGGCTGTAGTATCAAGTAAGTACATGCCTGAATGCTAGCCTCAACTACTCTTTAAGTATATACCAAAACTTAATCCATGAATGTAGAAAAAATCCTTTTCCATTTTTAGGTACAATAAAAACTTTCAACTACGCATCGAACGGGCGTCACCTAGCCAGTCAAGACTACAAGGCATGCATTAGAAGAAACTCAGGGTTCTGTTCTGTGCGTTATACCCCTTGTGATAGCCGCTCCTTCAGGATAGGACCTGGTGGTGGAACTCCACTGGTTATGGACCCTGCAGGTATGGTCATAAACGTAAAACAAAAAGTAAAGTAAAAGTCTTGTTAAAACAGTACTACCAAAAAATACAACTAATATTGAACTCAATGTGAACTAACTTAGATCTTTTTTTGGTCGTGGCCTCAAAGGTCCGCCTGTATTTCATGCAGGCGAGATTCGGCTTATTAGGCGTCAAGGCGGTTGCCTCCTCGACGCAGCGAGCAGGATATATAACCCTACTAATTACGTTTTTAACTAATGGCAACACTGTTTCTTATTATGGAACTAAACAAAATTGTCATATACGAAGAAAATACTGGTCCCTATACTATACAATGTAAGTCATAAGTATACCTCTGATCTTCCTTTCGGGTAACCAGTAATGAACAACAGGCGTGAAGCTATGAGATATGTAATCAAACCCTTTTCACCGGAGCACATCACGAACATCGTTACAAACGCGGAAAATGTAAAAACACGGATAATATAATAAACGGAGAGTTTTAAATTTAAGCTCTTTGACCGCGTTGACCTCTACGACCTTTAGGCTGCGGACGAACCCTTTGCCATGCAAATCGTAAAAACAGAAGGTATTCTGTCCAACATTATTATTCATGTTTATCATACTGCCATTCATATTCCAGTTAACTTTTAAACAAAGCCCGTTCGTTACTAAGTTTACAGCCGCGGGATTTGAACTTGGGACTGTTATGAGGTATGGTGGTAGAGTTTTCCAATAAAAATATTATATTTTCGGCACAGTGTGACGATCACACTACATAATTTCAGATCACCTTAGCATAGAAGGCATTTTTTGAAGGGGGGGGGGGGAATCATTAAATTACTTTTGACGCCTTGGGTTAGGTGAGAGGGAGTGTCAGACTCTTGTGGACTAAAAGCCATCCCGTTCCTACTCCTGCTCTTTAAGCCAGAGCACCGGCTCTTTATCTAGCAACAACCCTGCTGGGCCCCATCAGTGGTGGTCTGATGGCTCTTTGAGTCGTGACGCGCCGTACGCACGGGTCTGGTTCTATTCGGGCGGCGAGCTATTCTTGCTCGCGGTCCGCAGACCCGCAGGCATCATAGAAGAGGCATAAAGCGCAATTTTGTGACTCTGGACTGTTAAAAATAGAAAACATGATTTTCACATTGACCAATCTCATCAATGGATGAGAGTATGATTATTTTTTAATTATTTATTGTATTGAAAAGTTGAAACAATTTATTTTAAACCTAGGAAACTAGCCAATTGTGACCACTAGTGCCGTTTTATTAATAAATCATTATTGCTATTTTAAAACATTTATTATTATTTTTCTCACAGAAATGCAGCAAGAAGAAATGATGCCAGCTGATGAAACACAGACACAAGAAGACGAAATGGAAGGTTCTGGAAATGAACCGCAAATGGAAACTCCAATGCGAGAGGAACCCAGTCTCATCTCTAGGGTAAGATCATAAAAACAAAATATAAACGAGATTTTAGTAGAGGATAAGTAACGAAGGATTAGGACTGGAAGCAATTTTAGAAAAATGAACTTATTAAATAATAACTTATAATACAATTTTGAGTGAGGAAATCTATTACAATCTAAGGAAACTTCATAAAACTTTAAAGGTACAAACAAAGTTCACAGTTTTATGGTCTCAATGGGGCTATAAATTGTATCTAAACTGCATTGCAGATAAGTTTTTCATTTGCCGAGTTTCTAACATGTGCATACTGGAATATCTTATAAATCTTCGTTTTAACTTTATACCCAAGCATTTTTGCTGTAACCGCCATTTTTTGGACCACGTCAAAGGAAAAGACTCGAGACGAAGTCCTTTTAAATTTTCTGAAGCTTCTTTTGGTTAAAGATTTTTCTTATTTTATTACATTTTGTTAGTTTGATCTGAAATGTATTTAAATTAGTTAGAGTGCCGTGAGCACAGCAAAAAATTAAAGTAACTGAGTGGTTGAGTACACTGTGCTATTTATCGATTATTCGATTAGTGCAGACAAAAAAAAATTTGTGCAAAGGTTTTCCAGCTGTAAGAGTAAAATGTGAGTTAACCAGTATGAAGGCACTTCAAACACTAGGAACATAATAATCTGGTCAAGGATATTAGAAAATCTGAACCAGATTTCAATAGGGTAGATGACTAATTTTTATTTTAACGTCCGCCTGGTAGATTATTTTAAATCATTAGACACGTATTTTTTATTTTCTTACAGAAACGAATACTTTCGACGATATATTGATTTGAAATGTCGCGTGACGTCACTTCTATGTAAATTTTATACGTAGAAATTACGTTTTAGCCTCCACTCCTAAACTTTGATTCGTTTTATCTAAGTATTGTTTTATTATACGACAAAATAAAAAAAATACGTGTCTAATATTTTTTCATTACCTTACTTACGGGATAATTAGATTTTTAATTTTCATCTGTCATTACCCCAATTGTCAGTATTTTATGAAGCTAAAACCAATGGACAATAGATTGCCTTCATCCTCAGATGACCATTAAAGTTGTGTACAAAACGAAAACACCAATCTACTTAGAGAACAATGTATTTAAATTGTGTTCTCATTTATTTATCATATTCATGTGCAACTAATCATAAACCAAACTAAATAAAGTATTTAATGCATTAAAACATAGTAACCAATGATACTAAAATGACATGACAATCCTCTCCAGAAAATAACATGGAAACATGAAACATGACCTATTATAAGACCTATATTTATTTACACAATACAACATAATTAAACTTATTGCTTGATAAACTAAATCCAGATAAAATGGTCATTCCTAATAATTTTAACAGTATTTAATAAATCATAATTAAAGCATCTACATATATTTATTTGCAGCCAATCCTATTACAGTTCTTATATTACAATTATCTTAATGGAGAAGTTCGTTTGTTCTTATCATCAAATTATCTTAACTATGAGATAAAAGTCGTCTTATACAATACTTTAGTCGTTTTCTAGAGGGATTTTATACACAGCGTCTTCTTTGAAGGTCGAAATACGAATGGATTTCATTCCTAGTACAGTTAGTCTTTCAAAGGCTTGGTATGAGTGTGTTTCCAACCACACTCATCGCAGTCTGTATTTCATACTACGATGTTCCTCTTTACGCAATCAATGAAGCGTGCGGGTACATTACGTCAGCACGTACACACACAGACGTTTGGAAATCCAGTATATAATGCTCCTACTTTGTGTAATCTTTTCCCACATTCGACAGTCAGTTTATACTGGTTTAGGACAACTTGATATGTCTCCGTGTTCTCCACTGAAACGATCGCATATGAAAATTTTCCTCCTAATGTAGATATTTCGTTTCGTGTTCTATTGAAATGTCTCTAAATTTCTTTTCAACGATATTCGTGATTAAAATCGCTTCGAATAGACATGTTTTAGGTTTAGTCCTTATTTTTTTATTTCATTTGATCGATTTTACATTTCGTCCATGTGAAAACTTATTGTCGTTGAAATATTATTTTTAAAATGACATTAGTTGCTTTTTCACTTTCCATATCACCATATCGCCTGGTTTAATTTCCAAATGTAAGAAATCCCTCTCTTATACGTACGCTATATGCTATAAATACCAATAAATAACTTTCAATCGAACTTGCCCATTACCTATACGTATATTATGTACTACAACTATATAGACCCCAGTTCCCCGTAGCTAGCTTAACCCCAAACTAACCTACATCTAGATCTGGACGTATATTTCGTCTTGGATGTGGGGTCAGGCGAGGTCTTCCACCTGGTCGCGCTGGTCACCATACACGCAGCACTATGGGAGCGAGGACGATAAGTTCCGGTACTTCGGGTATGGGAACTATGGGATCGGTCTGACTGGCCATGGCAGACAGCGGTGTGACGACAGGATTACCATACCATGTGAAAATGAATATTTTATTTCGGTGAGTTGTTTGTTTGTGTGATTTTTTTAGTTTTTGTAAGATACTTATTACTTTGTGATTGCTGGTATTTCTTTCTATTCAATGTTCTGTAGTGTTTCAGTAATCCATTAGTTATTTGGCATTTAATAATTTCAATGTTTTAGACAACATCGAGACTGTTATCTGGATATTATGTAAATTCTTCAATTGTTTTATAAATAAAATTTATTAGATTAACTCGTTAAGTACCGTATTTATAGACACAATTAAAGAACAATAGGTTGCGATCACCGGTGTCCGCTTGGTGTTTGACAGTTTAATAAGGTGATATACGTACACAAGGACGTTGGAAACAATTCGGCCATAATGTCACTTAGAAATGATTGAAGCACCAAAATGTCAGTGGTGTATTTATGGGTGCGTGTGTTTGCGGGTTACCACGTTACCAGTCCTAAGAAAATGACAGATGTCCTTCGTGTCAATGTGTATGTTCTGCGTGTAAGTTTATAGTAACCAGGTGCTACAGACGTTGTTTCAAGAGACTGTGTATGCCTTTTTTCATCGTCCTGTTCGTACATAAGCCTTTCAGCTATTCATAAAATCTAAAACTAAAATTAAAGATTTTAATACTGACTTAAATATCATTTCAAAAACTTAAAGAACTTGAAGATTCTAATTATAATAGTATTAAAGCTTAGGACTTCCATTAGAGGACTGGAATATAAAAGAGAAACTTTGTGAGAGGTACTTGTGGAGTTAATAATCAGGAAAGGAAGTAATATTGTTAAAGTTCCCTTAAGAATGACCCGGTTTATAGAGTGTTCGGTGGACTTGGATTCTGCTGAGATGCAAGTACTCGAGTGGTTCTCGCCAACTTTCTGAATAGTAAGGGATGCTTTGGATTTCAATTGATTATGAACGCAGATGGAAATTGTGTTGGTGTTGTAATATCTGGTTTGTGAGATTAAAAGGAGTCATTTTGATAGGACCTTTTTATATCAGAGTATGTAGTCATGTAGAGAGTATTAAAAATAAATTTAAGACTAAATTAAAAAAATATCTGTTTTGCACACTACCATAACTAATTATGTATTTAAAATTAATCATAACCATTATCATAATAGATAGAAATTTAAATATAGAAGATCCAACAGTCAAACTATTTATATATAGTTTTGTTGGACATGGCGTTAGATTGTAAGGCATATCATGTACCTTTATTACTAATAAATAAATAATAATAAAAATGATGATGAAATTTCTGGTCAAACAACGCTTGTTACTAACATTCTGTCATTTTTTAAACAAATTATACATCGTGAAATCTATTTCGCTTTCGTCTCGAAGTAAAATGGTCATGTCTCAGTAATACAAAGAAATAACATGTTTAAAACAAAAAATAACTGGTGAACCATTGCAAAAAGCAAACTTCGAAATATATATGCAAAAAATATCACGACATGTAATTCTCGAAGTGATATTTCTCGTCGGGTGGCACGTGCGATGCGAATAGTGGCTGGTGGCTACAAATTTACATCTAGTGTTTCATGTGCGTATTGCCATGAATTTGTTTTTAAACTAAATAAAATTACATCTTTTTTGTTTTTACTTTATACATCGAAAGTATTCCTTATGGCAAGTTATGTTGCCGCGCGACAAATACGAAATAGATTTCATATTACTTTACTTATTGTGTGTACTTTTACTAATAAATTGCTTTTTTCTGAAAAGTATAATTACTACGAAAAGAACCAAGTTTATATAAAATTAATAATTAAATGTCTTTTATCTGACAGGGTTCAGATAAAATTGTGATTAATCTTTTTTTACGTCTACATCTGCACTAATTAATATTTTTAATTTGAAAGTAAACACTGCAAGCTTACATTTCAGACTACAGATCATTAAAAAATAATTACTTAAACACAATATTATCAGCCGCAATTTCAACTAAAATCTCCAATTTAAGAGGTTTGTCATATTCCCACGCTCGACAAGTTGTTTTTTAGGTTAGGTTTTTAAAGGTGCATTTTTCGTCTCTCTGGTTAATTGCAGTTTAATATACTTACCTACAATAAACAACCAACATACTGATCAAAACTCTACAAACCTGTTCACTCTATTTACAACCAAGAAATAAATTGATTGATGAATTTGATACCAAGTACAGAAGCGGTTCAAGTACAACCTCGCTATTGTACCGATATTGTTACTGAAACTTCACGGCAAATTTTAATTGAGCAGTGTAAAACAAGCATACAACTTGTTCCTTATTTTGTCTAAAGGTTGTTTAACATTATCTTATGCTAATTAGTACAGTTTTAAACGCTTCTCTGATATCTTGTTTGTTTATATTGCTTGTTAAAAGTTCGTGATTGTGTTTCTAATGGTTTTAGGATTGGGTTTTTGGTATTTCTAAAACATTGTTCCTATATAATCTAGATTCCAAAACGTTATGGCGTACTTTATGAGATAAATTATGTTAATAATCTGATTGTAATAGAGTGAGGTTTTCGTATATGGTAGCATAACTGAGTCTGAAAATTCCTAGATTAAATCATCAGATTAAACTCTAGCAGCAAGAATGACACTAAAACCTTAATTAAGGAAAAGTGATTATTCTGTGAAAACCCCCCTTTATTTAGCCTTTTGAGGATAGCATGATATTATGTTATTCTACGATGTTTTTTAATCTTAATTTAAAGAATATTTTCATTTCTCCCGACATGACAATCTGGTTTGATAATGTGATTTAAAGATGGTGCTATAAATTGTGGTCTGTTAAGCACAGGCCACAATTTATAGCACCATCTTCAAAACCATTTCCTTATTTTCTAGAGCTCGTACTTCGGTGCAGGCGTTTGCGACCCTCATCATTGCGGCAACACCTTCTGTCCTGGACAGCAGCGGCGTAACTGTCATGTGGAGACCTCCATAACTCCATTCGCAGTATCCGTGCATTTTGGACCTCCCACAGTCAAGAGGAGTCCAGAGGAAAACATTGGGATGTGCTTGCGATATACACAGTTGCCTTGTGACTCTTGAAGTGTGTGTTTAAAAGGTAATAAGAAAAATATTAAGTGTTTTAGAAGTGTATTATAATGGCCTGTGATTTCACATGAACTGTTGTTAGTTTAGTTCATGTTCATCTGAATATTAGTATGTTGTGGCTGATTTTGTCTCCCTAAGTATAATAGATGATACAAATATATATTTGGGCATTAATACTAAGATCGAGGCTATTAATAACACGTGTAAATAATAATATACAAAAGATTACATTAATATCTTTTGAAAGACTTTTCTGAATCATGTCATCATGAGTATGAGCTCATTTTATTCTAATTTATTTGCATTAAGAAGTAAGAAGTCATTGATAAGTTTGGAATTTTAAAGTTACATTCAATTTAATAACATTACCTTGTTATTTGTTATGTTATCATTTCAAAAACAATTCAGTTATCTAATATCTACGTTCAGGAAACAATCTCTAAAGAATATGATCATCTCACGTATTGAATTAGATAAACGATAAGACGATCGAGCGATCAAATTGTTTTTACATTGTTTGACAAAGGGTCGTGTAGCGAAGGGGTGAGGTTTGGGAATATACTTCCAATGGTGATGTAAAAAAGACATTTTTTGAATGAAAATTGAACCATATGATCGATTTAGAATGTTTTTACCTTAAGTAAGTTGTAGAGGACAGATGGCAGTCTATGAGTGTGTGATTTATTTCCAAGTCTGATCAAAAATATGTCCCGTAGAAGTCTGCATTAAAGAATTGTGGTTTTGTTACATAAAACATGTTATTTTATCAATTGGTATGATAGAACATGCGTATTCTTATCACATAGCAACGTAGCGGTTTTGTGGCAGAAGACTGGACAGTTATAAATTATAAAGGCTACATTTTCTCTTTGACCACGTGGTCGAAGTCACAAAAAACTTAGTACCTACCTAAAGATATTGATTTTGAGAAATCAGATGGATACATTTTATAAATCGTTACGCAATTAATTTAAGTGTTGGAGAGCCTATTCGGCACGAATGGGCCGGCTCGAGCGGTGCGTCGTTATACCACGGCCTCACAGAAAACTGACGTGAAATGACGCTTGTGTTGTGTTTCGTCGTGTGAGTGAGGAAACCGGAGACCTATTACAAAAAAAAAGTATAATAATCAATCAGAGTCTTGGGACAATCTATTACCCAAGGTACTTTATTCTATCCAATTATCTCAATTTTCTGAACAAAATATAACTAGCAAACACAGCTACAATTCACAATTTGTAATCCATCTTAGTAAGAACAGATCTTTAGATTAAAATCTCGAGTATCTACATTGGGCTAAGCGAATTGAGAGACAAGTCGTTTTAACAGTAATCTCAGTTGATGAATAACATTATTTGTAAACCTGTCTACAGCTTGCGGCCTTTTGAATACAAATCGATTGAATAAACTTTATGGCTAACTAGTTGGGACTTTGACTTCATCAATGAATTTTGTTCCAGATTGTTCGAACAAAGTATGTACGTAAAAAAAATTATACCTATAAAAATTGGAACGAACATTTTAAGCTCTTTGAATACTTGTTTTGCACTATACTGCACGGTTGGTGCGGTGGCTGGGCAACCGGCTGCCGTGGAAGGTGTCGCGGGTTCGATTCCCGCACGGAACAACACTTTGTGTGATCCACAAATTGTTGTTCCGGGTCTGGGTGTCATTGTGTATGTGAACTTGTATGTTTGTGAACGCGCTCACGACATAGGAGAAAATCCTAGTGTGGGGCAACGTTTAATTTAAAAATAAGAAATAAAAAAATTGTTTTGTTTTTGTAAATATGTAGTTTTTGAGATTTTTGTTGGGTTTAGATTTGTTTTCTAGTAATTTATTTTTATTGTAGTTTGAATAGCCAATCAAGAGTCTATAAAACGATTTTTATATTTTTAAAGGATGTAGAATTTTTTATTGTTTCTGTGTAAATTATATTACGGAATAGGGCATTTATCATATACACATTTTATGAATGTTTTAAGTAGAAAATTGTAGAAAAACATTAATTTTGCTCAATCAATGTTAGGCACGTACAATAAGAACTTGTATAAATGGGGAATTATTTTAATCTTATACTATTATAGAGGTATAAAGCGGAAGAGTTTGTTTTTTTTGTTTGTTTGTTTGAACGCGCTAATCTCCGTAACTACAAGTCTGCTTTGAATAATTCTTTTTGTGTTGGATAGCTCATTTATCGAGGATGGCTATAGGCTATAAAACATCACGCTACGGCCAATAGGAGGCGAGCAGAGCGTGTGGAACCGCGCGGAAGTAGCTAGTTAGTTATATGTATAATGCAAATATTATGTTCACCTGTAGTATTGCTCAAATGTAAAAAAAATATATTTAATTTTAATTATTTTAATAAGTCTTAGTTCCTATGACTCCTAGAAATGTTAATAATTGTAAAAGTCTGTATTGTATACGTAATTTACGACAAAAATGTGTTATTATATTAATTTTTTATTTTATTATGTAGTTGTGCCATTGTAGAAGAATATTAAAATATTTAATGACCAAAAAAGTCGTATTTATATAATTATGTTTGTGTTGTTCTAATGTCTATTTAAAATGATTTTTTTGTCTTTTAATAAGATGTTTTGCCTGTAAATAGTAGATATCTATATTTTTATTGAGTTATGTATTTTTCTTTTTAAATAGATAATATTAATAGAGAATCATTGCATTTATTATATGGAAATGTGATTTTTAATTATAATATTTATCATACGAAAGTTTTTTTTTTATTCTGAAGTGTTTACGAAGTAGGTTTCTAATACTTTGTAGGGATTTGACTTTGTACTATTATAATTATTATTTATTGTAACTATTTTAATGACTGCCTCGATGGCCGCAAGTGCGATTGCCGATCAAGGGGTGTCGGGTTCGATTCCCGGTTAGGGCAAAGTATTACTGGGATTTAAAAAATTCTCAGTAGTAGCACGGAGTCTGGAATTGTGCCCGATATATGGCAATAGCCCTATTACATGGGATTACCTGATGAGTATAACCTGGGTTTTCAAGGCCCGAGTGAATAGGTTACTTATGGGACGACGTGCTCCATCGTAAACCGCATCATCGCTTACCACCTGGCGAGATAGTGGTCAATCGTCGGTCCATCTTATACTACTTATTATAGGTATAGAGCGGACGAGTTTGTTTTTTTGTTTGTTTGTTTGAACGCGCTAATCTCCAAAACTACTGGTCCGATTTGAATAATTATTTTTGTGTTGGATAGCGCATTTATCGACGATGGCTATAGGCTACAAAACATCACGCTACGACCAATAAGAGCTGAGCAGAGCGTGTGAAACCGCGCAGAAGTAGCTATCAAATATAAAATAAAAAAAATAAAAACTTTTTTTTGAAGTCGGTTATAAAGAAGACATCTATCAAGCAGTAAGCATCTCTAATATCTGGCTACAGCTTTGGAAAAAGCACAATCGTAATATTACATGTACCCACTTCTCAATTCCATCGGCACCTAATGTGTATGGTAATGTGGTAAACGACTTTGATTGCTGCAGAGGTAACCCATTACGTATGATAACATATATAGATGTGTTTGTATGGTGATCATGCAATATATAGGTACTAGCTGTTACCCGCGACTTCGTTCGCGTGGAATTATTCATATTTCTTGTTAATTTATACTTTTTTGTAGGCGAGTAGTTTTGGCGAGGCGTATTTGAGAGCTAGTATGAAACGGAACGTTTATTGTCTACTCAAGATGGCGACTGCGGTTTGTCTGTCAGTGTCATTAAAATAATTAATAATACGAAATAATCTCCGTAATCCGAATTTTGCGGATACAAGTATGTTGTCGACTCGAAATCGATATTTTTTTTATATTTTGTTATCCAGGTAATATTTCGATCGAGTCTACCGTACCCCTTGAAATTGTTAATTTGAGATATACTAATACACACTACTAGTTTTGACACGTGACTTCGTCTGTATTTTACCTATTTTAATTAGTAAGATTTCTATAATGTTTTGTTACTACAATTAAATCACGAGAGAACTAAAGCATAGTTTCGGTAAGTTTATAAAGTATCCTTGGTTTAAGAAATTTATTTATTACAGAAATGATTAATTCTCAATACATTTGTGTTCTCTAGCCATCTGTGAACAGATGTTAATAATTCATTTATAAACTACGATTCAAAAAACCAACTTTAACCACCCTTGTTTTTGAAGTCGGTTAGTTAATATGCTAAAACCTTCTCCTAACCGTAACAAATATTTTTCTGAAAACCACATCAAAATCGGTTCAGCTAATCACGAGATAATCGCGCACAAAAAATCAAACATACAAACAGACACACAGCGGTCAAACTGTGAACCTCCTTCTTTGTTTGAAGTCTTTTAATAATCGTTTTGGGAATGTTCTTTAACAAAAATACTTTTTATTGATACTACAACCAATAGTAATAAACCATATTTTATTTTACATCCCAAAATTATTATGTTTTTGGCTAACTCACGTAATTATTTGACGAGGAACTCGACTAGTTTCAAGCCATGCTAGTGGCTCATATTCATGAGCAGCATTTCGCGACCCGCGACGCGGCGACTGTCGCGCAGCTACTGGTGGTGGAGTTCCTCGTCAAATAATTACGTGAGTAAGCCGAAAACATAATTTTAGTATGTTTCACGAAAGTTACAATACAAATATTTTCCATCCCTCTCAAGGTTCCAAATTAAGCATAAAAGTTAGCAAACAGACAGACAGACAGAACTACCATAGTTATACGAGGTATGGAATATGATGTAACATTAGATCGGTTGCAGACACGCCATTATGATCTTAATGGAACTTGTAATAGGGTACTTGAATATCTTCATGTATCGTTATTGCTGAGCAAACTGGGTAAGGAACGATAGTAAGAAACGTGTATGTGACTGTGAATATTGTTTTCGAATGCATAGAAAACAAAGTGACCTCAGAAGTCTTTGAAGTTAATACCCTGAAACAAAACATAACGTCA